ATTTTTCATCATTACCTTGATTTAATACTAATATTATTATTACTAATATTATTATTAATAAAACTTTTATAATTATTATTATTATATTATTATTAATATTATTATTATTATTATTATTATTAAACTAATATAATTATTATTATTACAAAATAATACATTATATCATCATAATACTATATAACACAAATATAATACTTTACTTAACTAATAATGATTAATATAAGCATAACCAACAAATAAAATTATTAATAATAATACATGCATATTTACATGAACAAATTTACTATTTTAACATACACAATTAATTTACATGCACAATTAAATGAACCTAATATAATAATGTAGTATGCACAAATAAATAAAATTAATTAACCTAACACAAAATTAATTTAAATACATTCTTTAAAATTTCGGGGTATTACACATCATCTCTGAGCTTTTTCTTCCAAACCCTAGCTTGTTCTTCGTTTATCCTCTTTTGCGTTTTCCAGTGAGAATATCGATATATCACGATTACCGAAAATAAAACTTAATAATCAAATTAATAATGACTCTCCCAAACTAATGTGTATTGGTTCCCTTAAATAAACCTTATCGGAGACTAATTAGTTACAAATAAGCCCAAAACAAGAAAATCCCGTAACCAATTAAAAATCAATCCCGCAATGCTGCCAGGTGCTGGGGGATCGATTCCCCAGCCTTGGGGATCGATCCTCCAAGGGCATTTTTAGTTCTGTGAATAGTGGGGATCGATCCCCACTCGGGAGGGGGGGGGGGGGGGGGGGAATTCATCCCCCAGAGTTGGAATTTCCTTTTACACCTTATTTAGCTCCATTTTGGCCCCGGACTAATTGATTTGCTTCTTTATCTTTGGAAACATCATCAAAGGCCTGAGAAAAGTAGAATTGACCACTTTTGAAGAATAAACACACTATACGAGTAATGGGCTACGACCTCTTTTTGTCATTTTCTGAACTTTTTCTGAATGTCTTTGCTTGACTCCAAAAACGCTTTAGTGAACCAAAATTAGTCCGTTTGAACCTTATTGACCTGAAATTGACAAAAATATAACTTAGAACTTAAACATGAAAATAAGATAGATGCAACGACTAAAATACCTTAATTTAAGTGCTTAAATGTGCATTTAAGCACTTATCATGGGGATTTTTTTCCCTCCACAATGATGAATGTAATATCCCATGAAAAATCAATTGAATTCACAAAGGAAACATATAAGTGAATTTATTGGTAAATAGGACAATTTATTTTTTCAGGTAACTTAGACTATTATAAAAAAACTAAATATAAAAATAAATTTATATAAATTTCCTTTATATATATATATATATATATATATATATATATCTTTCCTTCGTTAATTAGATTTGCCTATATCGATATATTATATTTCATTTTCTAATTAGATTTTCATTTATTGAATTATCTAATTAGATTTTCTTTTATTATTTTTTTTAATATTATATTTTATATATTATTTTTTTCCTGGTAACTTAGACAATTAAACAATTAAAAAATAAGCAATAAAACTAATTGGTAACTTTTAAACAATTAGAAAAGAAAATATATAAAGGAAATATATAAAAATATATAACACTTTAATATGTAATATTTAATATATTTTCAAATCTTAAAGTTCTATAAAACTCTATCACAAATTACATAATTAGAAAAAAAAAAATCTAATTAGAAAATAAAACATTTTAATATATAATATTTAATTATATAAAAGGAAACATATAAGTGAATTTATTGGTAACTTAGACAATTTTTTTTTTTTCCCGGGTAACTTAGACAATTAAACAATTAAAAAATAAACAATAAAACTAATTGGTAACTTAGACAATTAAAAAATTGAAAACCAATTACCTACTCAAATTAAGGTAAGTAATGTAAAGAGGAATTACCTATTAGTATTAAAATGCAATTGAATTCACAAAGGAAACATATAAGTGAATTTATTGGTAAATTAGACAATTTTTTTTTCGGGTTAACTTGGAAAATTATAAAAAAATCAAATATAAAAATAAATTTGTATACTTTATCTAAAAAAAATAAAAATAAATAAATTTGTATAAATTTCCTTTTTTATATATCTTTCATTCTTTAATTCGATTTGTCTATATCTATATATTATTTTTCCTTCTCTAATTAGATTTTCTTTTATTGAATTCTCTAATTAGATTTTCTTTTATTGAAATTTTCTAATATTATATTCCATATATAATTAAAAACAAGCAATAAAACTAATTGGTAACTTAGACAATTAAATAATTAAAAAACAATTACCTATTTAAATTAAGGTAAATAATGTAAAGGGCAATTACCTATTATTATTAAAAAAAATCAATTGAATTCACAAAGGAAACATATAAGTGAATTTATTGGTAACTTAGACAAAAAAAAAATTCCCGTGTAACTTAGACAATTAAATAATAAAAAAATAAGCAATAAAATTAATTGGTAACTTAGACAATTAAATATTGAAAAACAATTGCCTATTTAAATTAGGGTAAATTAAAGAGTAATTACCTATTATTATTAAAAAGCAATTGAATTCACAAACTAAATATATAAGTGAATTTATTGGTAAATTAGACATTTTTTTTTTCCGGGTAACTTAGACAGTAATAAAAAAAAAAACTAAATATAAAAATAATTTTGTATAAATTTCCTTTTTTATATATCTCTCTTTCTTTAATTAGATTTGTCTATATTTGTATATTATACTTCCTTCTCTAATTGGATTTTCTTTTATTGAAATTTTCTAATATTATATTATATATATAATTAAAAAATAAGCAATAAAACTTGATAAGAAGACTTCACCTATGAAGTTTGATAGTCACACAACTCTGTAATAGTCACACAACTCTGTAAATCACGATAGACACTACTATCTTGGATAAAGATAAGAGGTACTTGGATAAGGATAAGAAGTACAATTAAATAATAAAAAAATAAGCAATAAAATTAATTGGTAACTTAGACAATTAAAAAATTGAAAAACAACTACCTATTAAAATTAACGTAAATTAAAGAGTAATTACCTATTATTATTAAAAAGCAATTGAATTCACAAACTAAATATATAAGTTAATTTATTGGAAAATTAGACAATTTTTTTTCCGGGTAACTTAGACAATTATAAAAAAAACTAAATATAAAAATAATTTCGTATAAATTTCCTTTTTTGATATCTCTCTCTTTCTTTAATTAGATTTGTCTATATCTATATATTATATTTCCTTCTCTAATTGGATTTTCTTTTATTGAAAATTTCTAATATTATATTCTATATATAATTAAAAAATAAGCAATAAAACTAATTCGTAACTTAGACAATTAAATAATTAAAAAACAATTACCTATTTAAATTAAGGTAAATAATGTAAAGAGCAATTACCTATTATTATTAAAAAAAATCAATTGAATTCACAAAGGAAACATATAAGTGAATTTATTGGTAAATTAAACAATTTATTTTTTCGGGTAACTTGGACAATTATAAAAAAACTAAATATAAAAATAATTTTATATAAATTTCCTTTTTTATATATCTTTCCTTCTTTAATTAGATTTGCCTATATCTATATATTATATTTCATTTTCTAATTAGATTTTCATTTATTGAATTCTCTAATTAAATTTTCTTTTATTAATTTTTTTAATATTATATTAAATATATTACGAGTATATTTTTTCCGGGTAACTTTAGACAATTAAACAATTAAAAAATAAGCAATAAAACTAATTGGTAACTTAGATAATTAAACAATTAGAAATGAAAATATATAAAAATATATAACACTTTAATATATAATATTTAATATATTTTCAAATCTTATAGTTCTATAAAACCCTATCACAAAATACCTAATTAGGGAAAAAAATCTAATTAGAAAATGCAACATTTTAATATATAATATTTAATTATATAAAAGGAAACATATAAGTGAATTTATTGGTAACTTAGACAATTTTTTTTTCCGGGTAACTTAGACAATTAAACAATTAAAAAATAAACAATAAAACTAATTGGTAACTTAGACAATTAAAAAATTGAAAACCAATTACCTACTTTAAATTAGGGTAAGTAATGTAAAGAGGAATTACCTATTATTATTAAAAAAGCAATTGAATGCAATTGAATTCACAAAGGAAACATATAAGTGAATTTATTGGTAAATTAGACAAATTTTTTTTCTCGGGTAACTTAGACTAGTATAAATTTCCTTTTTTATATATCTTTCCTTATTTGATTAGATTTTGTCTATATCTACATATTATTTTTTCTTCTCTAATTAGATTTTCATTTATTGAATTCTCTGATTAGATTTTCTTTTATTAATTTTTTTTAATATTATATTCTATATATTATTTTTTTTTCCGGATAACTTAGATAATTAAACAATTAAAAAATAAGCAATAAAACTAATTGGAAACTTAGACAATTAAACAATTAGAAAAGAAAATATATAAAGGAAACACATAAAAATATATAACACTTTAATATATATATTATTTAATATATTTTCAAATCTTAAAGTTTTATAAAACTCTATCACAAATTACCTAATTAGAAAAAAAAAAAAATCTAAATAGAAAAAAATCTAATTATAAAATGAAACATTTTAATATATAATATTTAATTATATAAAAGGAAACATATAAAGGGAAGAGAGAGAAAAAGTGGAAGAGATGAGAAAACAGATAAGAGAGACAATATCGAAAAGAGGAAAACAGGAAGGAGAGGGAAGAGAGAGAAAAAGGTGGAAGAGATGAGAAAACAGATAAGAGAGACAATATCGGAAAGAGGAAAAAAGGTGAAAAAGAAGTGAAAAAGAAATGAAAAAGAAAAAATAGAAGCAGAGAGGAGAGAGAAAAGAAAACAGTGGAGAGGGAAAGAGAGAATATATAGTTTTGTTTGAGCACTTAAATTTGAGAGGTTTAACTGAGAGAGTTAGTTATCACTACAAGTTATGGCTTGGCTTCGCTGCTTCTTGCTTTGGCTTCCCTGCTTCTGTTTTAGAGAAGAAGAAGAAGGCAGTATCAGAGAAGAAAAAGAAGAAAGCAGACAAAGCAATGAAGAAGAAGAAAGCATCAGAGAAAGCAGACAAAGCAATGAGTTGAAGGGCAAAGAGATTACAACATTAGTGCCTTACATTCCTCACGATCTTCTTGTCAAAATATTATTAAAATTGCCCATGAATTCTCTGATACAATTGAAGTGTGTTTCCAAATCATGGCATTCTTTGATCTCCAGCTCTTACTTCACTAGCACTCACCTCAATCAATCAAAATCAATCACAAAGCGAATGCTCATGGTCAATTTCTATCATCTATACAAGGTAGACCTCGGATCAACACACAATGATGTCACAGTGGCAGAAAATATTGATAATATTATTGATGTCAAGCCTCATCTCGATCATCGTCTTGAGTTTCTGGATATCATTGGCAGTTGCAATGGATTGGTATGCATATGGTTTTTGTCCCGTCGATCATATGTAATATTCAATTTCTATACAAGGGAGTCCAAGCAAATACCATTTTGCAATTTACGTTGTTTTTTCCCTTCCTTGATATGTGGTGGATTTGGATATGACACTTCCTTGATATGTGGATTTGGATATGACAGTTTGTCTGATGATTACAAACTGGTGAAATTAGGTAGACAGAGCGTCTATGTATATTCACTGAGAGCTGGTTGTTGGAAAAAAGTTCAAGACTATGTTAAAAACAGTTTTTATGTTGAATACGGTGCTTATCCCACTCGTGGGATGATGCTGAATGGAGCCATTCATTGGTTTTGTTTGGATATAAATTCAAATAAGAAATCAAAGATTGCTGCTTTTGATTTGGGGAGTGAGAAACTCTCAGAAATTCCATTGCCTAGTTTCTTCACCAATGTTCATAAAATGTGCGGAATAGGGGTATTTGGAGGATGTCTTTGTGTAAAAGTACCGGCTAGTGATGAATTTTGGGTAATGAAGGAATACAGGGTGGAGCAGTCTTGGACTAAAGTTAATGTGGAATTCCCAAATTCACTTCATGCAAAGCCATTGGATTTGTTAAATAATGATGAAACTCTTATGAAGACGTTCCGCTTCAAATTCGTTCTATACAACACAAGTGAGAGATCATATAGGGATCTTGTACCGCATGGCCTTCGAGAGATTTTTTATGATGCCGTAGTGTATGCGGAGAGCCTGGTATCACCTGCCAATTCTTTTTGTTAATTCCTTGAATGGTTTGTCATTCTAGTTTCAAATATTTATAGTTTTATATTAAGATTATTCAGGTTCCTTCAAATTAATAAAAATAAAAAATAAGGTGCATTGATTTTCTTGGTGTTTATATTGTCATTCAATTTTGTAACATCATGTTTTACAATGTGTTTTTTCTTTATCCTATTAATTAGAACACTATTTACCATCCTCTGGCATTCATCTCTTCCGAAATTCCAATTACACTGTTCTTGTGTTTTTCCCCTGCTTGCTAACAAGCATAATGCCAAAAAGAGAAACAGTAACTCGTTTTGAGAACCATGGCCCATGGGTGACTAACTAAAAGTGGATGTGTGCTAATGTCTTAGTTTCTCGATCTAAGATGAGCCACCGTGTATCATCTCTACCAAAATATATATATATATATATATATATCAAAACAAGTTATGTATGAACCAAAAAATTATTGTTTAATAGTTTACAAAAATAGTTTATAACTTTTGTACAAAACTATAAATAAAATAAAGTTAAATTTATATTATTTAGATTATTTATAGTATCATCAATTATCAATTATGCTAGCATCTTGAAGATAACTAAAAAAATATTAATGTCCTCTATTTTAATACATATCACACTTTTTTCTTTTATGCATTTGTGTTTTATATTTAAAGTTTGATTGTTAATTGAAGTAAAAGGAAAGAACTTTTATATATATATATATATTATCTTCTGCACTCTCTATATTTTCTAATTACTCTGTATTTGTTAGGTATCTCTTCCAAATTTAACCTTAATTAGAAAATATCAAATCTAAATAAAATTATAAAAAGCTTTAACGGAATTATGTAAATTAGGATTCTTGTTGTTGAGAAAGAGTAGAAAGGGGTTTTTATTCAAAAAAAGAGATCACGCATGAAAAATTGTAACTTCTAATATTAATTATTCGAAGATTTAATAAAAAAAGGTCTCCCAAACAAAGATATATACTAGCATAATTGAATTGAAGTTATTTAGTTATATAAGGGTTTGGATGCTATAATAGTAAGTTTTGCTATTTTTTCTCTATTTCTATATTAATTTATTTTCTATATTAAAAAAAGTATTCTTAAAACACACAAAGCGCTAACATATTAATAAGAGCTACCTAATTCAAGATAAAATCAAAAATCTTATTTTTATAAAGTAATAACCTATAATAATTGAATTTTAGTTAAGGAAACAAAATATTACATAATATCAACTAAGGAGGCGATATCTGCACTCCACTTTTCAACGTTTGCACTACAATTATTAAATGAAATGACAATTCTAACCCTAATTTTACAAGTAAATAATTATTACTCTTTAAATGACAAAACTATCCTTTTAGATTTTCTCTCCTTCTCTCTAATTTTTATTATTTTAGGTCTCTTTTGACAAATGTTAAATAGTATCCCCCCTAAAATTTTCAAATTCCTTTAATTTCCTTTTGAAAAAAAAAAAAAAGGTTACATAAATCCCCCTTCTTCAAGTACACCATATATTTTTCCTTTTCTAATTTTTGTTTCCTATTTCAAATTTTTTTTTTTCCACTTATGTATAATTATGTATTGTTCAATTTTTTCCACTTCTTTAATTAAAATATGGGTAATTTGCGATGACACCCCCTCAGGTTTGCCTAAAAACACAAGTAGATACAACTTAGGCTATATTTGGACAATGACACCCTCCAGGTTTGCAAACTTGAACAATGACACCCCAAACACAATGAAAGTACATGTTTACCCTTTGACCACGTAAAATGACCAAATTACCCTCGTCTAATATACACAACCACCGCAACCTCAATAACCGCCACCGCAACCTCCATAACTATAATCTTCTTCAATCTTCTTCCCATTCCACCACCATTAAAACCCAACATATATATATATATGTATATATATATATATATACACACACATATAAAGTGACACTCCATCAGGCTGGGAGAGAGAGGTCTGTTGGTCCTTTTATTGTAGGTCGCGGTGACCACAAGCTTGGAAAAGCATGCAATTTAGGCGAGGGCCAAGTTTTACATTTGTAAAAGCCACTACAACCTTTCACTATAAATATAGCTAGGGTAAGTAGGGATCGTCCCAAGGGATTGGAGTTAGAGTTGATTGTGGAATCACTATTAGGGTTAGTAGGTCGAGTGATCTAACAATTGGTTGGTTGGTTGATTAAAGAGTAACTAAATTAAACTAAGTATTTGAATGCAATGGAGAGTAAGTAAGAGAGAGAGAGAGAAGAGTCTTGGGGTTTAGAGATCACCACCAAGCAATGCATTTCTATATTATTGACAAGTGATTAATGAGGGCATTTAAGGTGTTGCAATATTGGTGTGTGTGAAAAGTTTGATTCAGAGGGAGAAGAAGAGGCAAAAATTGGAACAGAAATATCATTTGATTCGTCGATCCTCAAAAAAAGAAATAAGCAAAGTTCCGTCGTTGAGTGACAAATGGGAAATTAGGTTTGTGGAGTTCTGGATTTCGAGTTAGGGGATAGCTGGTCGACTACTGCCGATGATGGCTCCTAGGCTTTGCTGCTTGTTGGAAGTTTCGTTTGGGGGGTTCAAAATGATCAGCTATAAAAAGTGTAAGTATAAAGCGCGTGGATTGATTCTAACTGTGTGTGTGTATTTGGTTGATTCAACAAGCAAGGATGACTAATTAAGTATACATTGTCTAACCAACATGTGAAAAGCACAATATATCTAGCAATTAAGTTTATATTGTCTAAATAGCATGTGAAAAGCACAACATATCTAGCAAATTATTGATCATTTTCATTAGGCTCACAATCCAAATACAACACAAGATTAGAGACATATGCTATTTGCATTCAAAAGTATGGAGCATCAAACAACTAGCATGGATTGTCTTCCTATCTAATATTATACTATAACTAAACTACAATTAAACCATTGAAATTAAACTAATTTAGCTAAAAGGAGACACAATCCATCAAGACATGAGCATGAACCATCTAGAGAATCACAAGAACATTCCTTTAAGCACTATGTTTTGACAACCTCTAAATTTATGGCATCAATACACATAGACATGCATCAACAACACAAAATCTAGAAACAAGAACATGAACATCAATTCTAGCATACATAGACATATGAATAGAATGAAATGATCAATTGGAAGCCTTAAACCACACAAATCATTAATTAAACAAGATCTATATATATCAAAGTGTCAAAACATTAATTACAACACTAATCCCTCAATAATACACAAGATTAAGATATAGAAAGTATGCTTGGGGCTAACTCTAGCCCCAAGAGGATGTCTAGCCACTCATGGTGAGGATGCTCTAACCCTCAAGGGCTCCATGGAAGAGGTTTGCTCCTTGTTGATGAAGATCTCCAATGGTGTCTCTAGCCTCCTCCTCCTCTAAACTTCCTCTCCAAGAGATGATATGAAAAATAATGTTGGCTCCCCTTGAAAAAACAATCCTTATCCTTATATAGGTAGGTCAAAATGACACCCAAAATGAGCTGGGGTCGTGCACATAATATTTCCTAATGATTGGATAAATGACAACTTTCAATGGGATGAAATTTTAACTTTTTCGCACTGGAGGAAGTTCAATCGATCGAAGGAAGTGAGATCGATCGAAAGTAAGTAAGATCGATCGAACTTAGGCTGGATCAATCCAACTGGCTGAGCTTTTTAGAAAAAGACAAATCCGAGATATTTATGGGAGATATTTATGAGAAAAGGACAAAAATGGTTGGTGGGTGGTATAGCCGTGGATAGGATCAATCATTTGGATAAGGACAAAAATGTTCGATCGATCAAAGAATGATGTTGGATCGATCGAACTTTTGGACTTAAGTGCTTTGGGTCAAAGCTTGGATCTATCTTGAAGTGCTGAGATCGATCAATGTTCGATCGATCGAATCTTGGACTTGGATTGATCGAACTTGCTACTTTGCTTCATTTTGCTTCTTTCTTCCTCCACTTTGTTCTTTTCTTTGTTTAATCTCAGAATTGTTTCAATTAAGCTCTTATTTGGCTGAGTTAGCTTATTTTCAGGATAAGTGCCTGAAAATGAAAATAATACGAAATCAATCTAAAACGGTAAAGTAAGATAGATAAAGGTACTAGAATGCCTAAGCTTAAGGGGTTTAAATACACACTTTTCAGTGCTCATCACACTCCCAAACTTAAATATTGCTAGTCCCTAGCAATGAACTAGAAAGTAAAGGAATGAAATGAACAACTATACAACTATAACTAGAAAGCAATAAATGGATAACGCCACTTTCGTAGGGAACACAATTGCACTTAACACATGTAATAAGCCTTTTTAAATCCCTAGGTTACCCTTAGTGGACGAGTGAAGTCTCGTGAGGGTTTTCAGAAATGGTACCCATAAACATTAAGCTCATTTTTTTCAAAGAGGTACCAATATTGCAAACAAGCATTGGGAGAAAACTACCTCAAGTATGCAATTTTTCAACCCTTTCCAAGCAATCTCCCAAAATCTCAACATCAAGCAAGCAAGTATGGTCCTCCACACATCAAGAAAACGATCATGTAAATCAAAACAACTCTAGAATTCTTTTGAGTGGACCGGCATCAATGTGTTGCTATCTTAGCCAACTAAAGAATAAATCACATCCTTACCCTCAAACTAGTACACAAATCTAGTACCGATCATCAAGACAAAAAGTGGACCTTTTATTAAAGCTTATTATTCTAGGTACGCTTATTCTTTTCACTCAAATTTTTTTTTTTTTTTTTTTTAAGGATCAAAGATGGAAGCATAGTGCAATGTGTTGATCTCTTAAGCTTTCTAGCGATTCATGAGGTCGAGCATTAGGTTAATGACTCCCAAACCAGACGACTTTAAGGTACTAGGTGTTCAAACACCCCTACGGACTTACAAGCTTAAATCAACTAGGTTACAAATCAAGACAACAACTATCTAATTATTTCCCACTTCTCACATTTTGGGAGAAGTCCTCACTT